AAAAAAAAAAAAAAATCCGCTCGGGACTTGCGAATCCCGCGTTGTTTATTCGCGTCGAAAAAAAAAAAATAAATAAATAAAGTTTTCAATGTTATTCGCAAAGAGAGAGAGAGAGAGAGAGTTGTGTTCCCTGAACGCGACTCAACGCACGATCCGACACTTGAAGGTCAATGACGAGCGACCGGTTGGCACGCACGCACGCATTATTGATCAATTCCACTTTTCATTACCGATCTCGCAATAATCGAATTAAAACTAATTCAACTCGCGGTGACAATCGAATCAAATCAACACGCCGGAGTCAAGTATCTTCGCTCACCTCTCGCTATGTGTACAACAACGTCGGGAAGAGATCGGATAGAAAATTGTTCGGATTGCCAGCCGGAACGGATTCCACCCAGGAGTCGAGGTTCAAACGAAGGTCGCCACAGACTACGCGAGAGGTCAACAAGGGCTTTGGCGATCGCGCGGACACAGGAAACCGCTTGATAAGCGCATTACCGCACTCGGTAATGTAACGACAGATGGCACGAGATCGATTTGACGATTGACCAATCCTGAAGAAAAAACGACCAACAACAACCTACACAAACGAACGCGAATCGTGAACTGACCCCGAATTAGATCGTTTGGAGACGCGCCGCCGATCCCGCGGATGGTGGTTCGACGTGGGGAAGATGTTTCCACGTGATTTCTGATGCGAATCACGTGGTTCGGTTGACGAAACCTGGTTCCTTTCCGTGCTAAAGTCATCGTCTGCAGCGTGTGGTTTTGTTCGATGCTGATGTGGGCACGTGCGTCATTTGTTACGCATCCGAAAGTAAAATCATAAATTGTTCTATTGCTGCAAATGAATATACCGTAGTACGAAGGAATGATAAAATATTGCGTACCAGCGAGTGTGAACGTAAATAACCATGTTTGTTCTTCCTTAAAAAAAACTTTGCAATCGATGACCGCACCTTCCCGTCGTAAATACATCAGCGTATTCCGGTACTTAAAAACCACTGGCTGTAAAGAGGAAAAAACTTTCTGATATAAAAAAAAGTGCGCAATCTAATCGAGTTTTTTTTCCTACATCCGGCTACTGTTTTTAAATATAACGCGGTGTACTGCCTTAGGGCGATGTCCCATTGAGCGGAAATCTATAGCGGAACGGAATGTGCGGAACCAGCTCGACCAATCATAGCCATTCCGTTTTCTTTCCTTCGCTTTTTCTGTGGTTACGATTGGTCGAGCTGGTTCCGCACATTCCGTTCCGCTATATATTTCCGCTCAATGGGACATCGCTCTTAATTGAGCGAACCAAGCTGCTTCATAGCATTTGAATATTGTGATTGGATATTACTTTTAGAGCCATTTAATCACTAGAGTCCCTATACTACGAGTCTGGCCACAGACGTTGCGTTCTATAGCTGCGTTCCGTTTCACGCATATGCGCGCATTTATCTGTACTGTACGTGACGTGTACTATAGATACATGCACTATACGCGTAAAACTGGAACGCAGTCTATCTTATTGATCGCGATAAAATATGGCGAAACCTATGTAATATCTTACATTTATCACTAACTAAAATATTCAATATAAAAATAGAATATAAATCACTATAAGAAGATACCTTTGTTAAAGTTTTCTTTAATATAAAAATTTACAATGTAAACTTGCGATATATAAAAAAGTACACTATACAATAAAAATATATAATGCAATACATGCACTATAGAAATACAAGAAATATTATTATATATTATTACTATTTATTACATTATGCTATAATTATATAAACGAATATATATTACACATAATATATGCTCTATATATATAATAAATATATACTTATATATTAGTAATAATATCTACACATATATAATATATTATACTCCAATATACTATATTATATATCCCGGCAAACACAAAGTAACAGTAATGTAACATTAATGTTATAATTTCCCACTCAACAATGTAACTGCTACGTACAAGGCATGTTGCATTGCAGTTACATTGTTGAGTGGGAAATTATAACATTAATGTTACATTACTGTTACTTTGTGTTTGCTGGGATAATATAATATAACATAATATATTTTATATATATATGTATATATATATATTATTTTAACATAATATATTACTAATTACTAGAAATTCCTCTCGCATTCTGTAGTTTCTAAACTAATAAATATATAAATATAAGGTCATTAAAAGTCGACTTAAGAACGGCTCTTAATGACCTTAAAAGGTGGCTCTTAGTAAACTTATATTTATATATTTATTAGTTTAGAAACTACAGAGCGCGAGAAGAATTCCTAATTGTTAATATATAATTATGTTATACTACAATAATATACATAAATATATATATATATATATATATATACTATATATGCATAATATATAATAATGTATATATAATATTATATGTTTAA